CATATCGCGCATTTGTTAAAGCCAAACAAGTTCATTTCACTCTCAAATAAATCCACCCCTTTCTTATCCTTGATGTAATTGTACTTCACAATGAATGGGTTGTACAAGTTCATGTAACGCTTGTTAACTAATTCAACAAATCGTGTTGCGCCGTATGGTACAACTACTTGAGAACGAACAAAATACATGCTGCACGTTATTCATTTGTTTTCATATTGTTTCAAAAATAATACTCTAAAATTAGTGCTGCAACTTTGATTCAAACAAACTCATTTTCGGGTCGGCTGTACGCCTGTTGGATCACTATATTCTCCGCTACACCTAAAGTCATCTGAGACGACGTTTGCCAGAAAGGATTCTCTTGTGAGTAGTCTGCTATCTTTAAAAGCTTGTCTAAAATGACTCTCTTGTTAATCGCGTCCATTATTTTATTTCGAGTTTTATTGAACCAAATTGGTTCACAAATCATAACAGCACTGCGTTTTATACCTTTTAGTTATTTATGACTCAACTCGCCTTGTAAATAATATATTTGGAGTTCCTTCCCGATTTATTAGTCCATCTTTTTGGAAGACATTCAATCGATTTGAAGTGTTGCATCTTATTTTCTCGTTGTAATCAACATGGATATTTGTCACATCGTAATAACCCTTCCTTTGTGCTATTTCTTTTTTCATTTAAATCGGTGTTTAAAAATGGAAAAAATTCTTCTTTTTTTGAAATGCAAAAGGTACAAAACCCGTTTATTGAACTTTATGTTCAATTATTTGTAATTCTATATTAAGAAGTTAATTATTAATAAAATGTTATTGGTTTAGTGAGTAGTTTATTTATAGTTTAATATTAACAAAAAAATAATTTGGAAGTGGACATCCACTACTAATAACATATAATTAAAATATTATAAATTGAACTATACACAGAGCAAATAAAATTGATTAATGGTCATGATGAACGCCAATGGACTGTAAAGACTTCTGATTCTGTTTTTCTGCTGCATTAATTTCGGTTTGTTTTTGAATTGCTTTGTGTGGCTTGGTGAATACCTTTTTAATTTTTCCCAAATGCTTTTTCACATGCTTTTTGACTTTATGAAGGGCTTTGAGTAAAATGTGTTTGTTCAACTCTGAACTGACCTTCTTTGCATTCTTTGTACCAACAACCAAAATCACATAGTTCTTTCTGAGTTTTCGAGCAAAGTGTTCAATTGCGTCATGGCACGCCATTGGGATTTTTTCAGTTTCAACACCTTCTGCTGTTGCATCTTCTATCATGTCTACTACCTTTTTATATACTTTGTTATATATTCTTCGAGTTGCACGGGCTCTTCTTGATCTTCTGTTGTGGAATTTTTTAATTAATTTTCGAGACCTGTACCTTTCTCTCATTCTTGCTGTTGCTATTTCAGCAGCCATTGTTGCATATTTATGTGCATACTTCTTAATGTATCTATGAAGTACCTTTTGATTATATTCAAAATCTCTTTCTAAATGGCTGGTACGTTCAACACCAACTCTGTAATCTACTCCTGTACTTCTCACGATTCTATCTCTGTCTGGTGAAGCTATTTTATCTGTTACTCTTCTTAATAAGCGAAGTTGCTTCCTCTTCTCCATTCGAAGTTTGGTTATGGCTTGTTGTAACTTAACCACTTGGGACTCAACAAATAGTCTATCCCTCTTGTCAACAGCAATCTTCAAATCATTGTACAACACTTCCAATGCATTTTGAAGCTTTCTCTCTTGTTTCTCTATCTTCAACAACTTCCTCTCTCTTTTTTTAGTCTCGTATCTGATCATTTTCATTCGAGATAACATCACTCCACTGTGAAGGTATGGATGAAAAAAGTCTTCTGATCGGACTACAATTACAACTAAAAACAACACTATTGGGAGCATCAATATTATGTATCCCAGTTCCTTTGACTTCTCAAAATTTTCAATCACTCTCACGATTTAATTCGCTGATCACTGATTCTGTTTGGTGGTTTTTTCATTTATGAAACTTATTTGTTAAAAACCAACAAAGTGGTTGAAGTCAAATAATAAGAATTTTTTTCTTTTGTTTTCAATTGTATTTGTATTTACTTCAAATACAAAGTTTAGCACTTTAACGTTTAATATCAATAATATTCATTTATATACATTTGTATTCAACAACATGAACACTGAAAACAAAAACTGTCTTTAATAAAACAAATTTTATATTATATAATTAAACATGTCAACATTATAGAATTTGTTAACTAAAAACACAAGCAGTTCCACAATATAATAATTGCTCAGTACGTCGATAAAGCTTCAAATAATTTGTATGTGGATGTGTTAATAGAGAACAAAATTATTATTATAATATCTATTTTAACACTAAAAGTACTCAAAAATCAAAAAAGACATAAAGACGCAATTGTATCAAAGTTCGACCTTTTTCTGGTCTTTCTTGAGAAAATTGAGTCCACAATGCAAATTTCTATACTGGAAAGTGTCGTCCTGTAATTTCTCAGTGAAACATGTCTCGCACTTTTGCTTAAGAATAATGTCTTTAAATTTCATGCATCTATCATCACTGAAAGATTCACACAAAAGATCGCCGTTATGAATTCTGTACATTGCAGATGTGTTGTCTGGGAAGACAGTACACCCCCTATACATCCCTTCAATCACAGAAACTCCTTTACACTCGCCTTTCTCTTCTAATCCAAGAGACGAATTTGTAAAATACGCAATCGGTTTTTTATCATCAGTTTCCAGACTTTCAATCACATCCATTATCTCTTTGAAGCCTTGCTGTTTTGAATCAACACACTTCCCCAAGGAAAGCGGAGTCAAGTCACTCATGTGGTACTTCTTGTCAGCAACTGAACAGTCGGAGACGCCATTGTACATATCCGTACGAATTGTCTTCTCATCTACAGTGTATTTGAAAGAAATAAAGTTTGTGATGTTCGACTTCTTCACGACTTCAGTACGAACCAAACAACTCCCTATCTCAAAGTATTCACAACCAACCATTACTTTACATTCAGAGTCTATGTACGCACACTCTCGAAGAAATTTACTTGTGGTAAGTGACAACAAAAGAAGGAGAATGAGGAGTGTCATGCCACTTTTTGGATTTATAGTTCTTTTTATAATTATGAACTATAAAAAAATATTTTTTTTGAAAAAGAAGAACATAATAAAAAATATTTTTATTCAACAATTATTTAATTTCTTTAGTATGTATTTAATATTTAATAGTAAATTATACAAATAGTAAATTTTATAAAAAAAGAATTATTTGTATTATACTTTATAATACTTGTAAATATATTTAAAGATCATTTAACTCCAAAAATAAACCATTTTTTGAATTAATCTAACATTTTTACTAATATTTAAAATAATTAAAAAAACTATAGTATAGTTTTGTGTTTTTAGTCTTTTGAATCGAAAATGCCAATAATAATTAATTTTCAGAAGTTTTTGATGAAAACCAGAAAATTACAAACAAATTTATTAAAAAATTTTAAAGAAAAGATTTCTTTCAAAAAATGACTATTGTTGACTGGAATAATACCACATTAAAATGTTCATACCTCTACATCACGTCATTCCAATATCTTATCAACCTTATGAAAAGTTATCTACATCACATAGTGAACAATATTCAATATTAGAACTCTCATCATTCGGATGACTTAACTTCGACGCTCATCTCAAAAATGGTAAACTGGAAATAGAAAATGGCTCAACCGGAGAGTGCTTCGGACCTTCTTTCCTTCATCCGGGAGGAGACCTTCAACGAGCGGAAGGCCGAATTTGTCCACGCCAGTTTGACCGAGTTCTTTTCCCCAACGGTTCTTTCCGCGCTTCGCCACACTGAAGAAATTTACTATTTAGTTGAGGTAGCAGTCTTTGCTTGGAACGTCAACGACCAAATCAAAAAAAGGAAGTGTGGGATTCTTGCAAAGCGCGAGCCTGTTTTTGAGTGGATTAAAGAAACAATTATCAGTTGTGGTGTTTCAAATAGTGCAAGTGTCTTAGAACGTATTGGGTATTGTGTTTCACTGGGGAGATTAAACTATTTAAAACGACATAGCGAGGTGCGTACACTTCGAGATATCATTCGCGTCGCAGACGCTCGTGGAAACGTTCACTGCGACTATGAGAAAATCACAAAACGGGTTACCTCCTGTTTTGATGAGATAATGTGGTTCTATAGAGAAAACGACTCGATACAAGAGAGCATTTTAGTCTCAATTTTACTCGAGCAATTCCCACTCTGTTTTTTGGACAAAATCGACGATAAAGTCCTCCACAGAGTTTCCCTCTTTTTGCTCTTCGTATGGATCAAAATCAACCCGCCGTTTCAAAACGAAATCGGCGAAATTTTTTACCCAATGGCAGAACAACTAACAAATGACGAGAGAGAGTGTTCAAGGATCACTGGAATAGTCCTCGACTACGTCTTGAATAATAACTTACTCTTTCGGGCAGTCACAGATAGGGACTTCGACTTGGGGCTCTTGTCAGAAGCCCTTGAAAAAATAAGAACCCAAAGCGACATCGAAGACGAACGGAAATAAATTCCTCATGTTTTCGAATACCTGATTGCTTGCCTCGAGCTGCAATTTAGGGTTTTATAAGTAGAAAGAAAAAAAAATGTAAGTAATAAATTGAATCCTTCGATTCATGTTTGGTTGGTGCAAAGTATTGCGATGGTGTGCCTGAGTGAATAACACATGGATCACTGAGAAAATGTGTTTTTTAAGTTAAAAGTAGAATGATTAAATTTGCTTTTTATAACTATTAATAAAACTCTTTTTTAAAAATATAGTTTACAGAACATGGTATCTATTTTGTAAAAATAAAAATATGTGATAGTTTGGTTTATTAAAGTAATAGTTCTTAATCTGTGTAATCAATTGTGTTACGACGTGAGAAAAGCAGAAAGTGTGACCATGAGTGGGTCGACAACATCGGGATAATTTTCAAAGGCAAACTTGTCGAAGAGAGAACGAAGTTTTGTCGAAGAGACTAGAATTGGTTTGAGTATTTGTGACACCTTTTTGTCGGAAATTCGTTTTGTAACGAGTTCAGAAAGAGTTAAAAAGTAAGAGAGAATATCGAAAATTTCTTGTCGACAACAAAGAAATTTGAAAAGCGCGTTTTCTTGGCGTCTTTTGATTGTTCCATTGAGCACAGAAGTCGTCAAACATTTGTGCGTTTCCTCCAGAAAAGTAACTATTTTTTCCAACTCTTCTACAAGAAGAGATGCTTGTTTTATCTATTCATTAAACGTTTATTGTAAGTGTTGTGAAGATAAGTTAAAACAAACATTCGACAAAAATAATGGAGAGCCAAAAATGTCATTTCTTTTTTCTATTCTTTCAAGAGCAGTACACAAATTGTCACATTCGACTTTGACGTTGAGCGAAAGCAGTCTTTTTGGTTTGTAAGATTTGTAATCTTCAAACTTCTCGTCATTCAAACCGAAATTTTCCAAATACGTTTTTGTTTTTTCGATTTTTTCCAAAAACACATTTTTCATTCTAATAAAATATGAAAGTGGGTGGAACATGACGCCTCTTGCAAAAACATTATTCACAACTTCTTCGCATCTTTCACATGTTTTGACCTTCCCATAAAACCAGTTATCCATTTTTTCGATTACAACAAAATATAGGAATCCTAAAACGTCCACTACATTTTTGGGAAGTTCCTCAATTGTATACTCTCCATGGGAAAGGCAGTCTCTGAGTTTGATTCCTCCTTCGTACAAAAATACATCATTGAGTATCCCAACAATTTTTTCACTCAGCACCTCGATAAGAACGTTTTTCTTTTTGGTTATTTTTTCCTCTGACAATATTTTTTGCGTTTCGATATCACTGAACTTCGCAGAATTCTTGTACTTCGACGCCTTTATTTCGTTGATAGTCGACGGCCTATTGACGATAAGCCCTCCTGAATTACTCACTACAAATTCTTGTAGTAGCACGTCCATTGTTGTGTAGTACTTTGAGTAGTTAGCCTGTCCATACATCGTTTCGACATCGTTCACCGCGATAAAGGCGACTCGGAGCAAGTTTTCCAACTCGACAACAAGTCTAAAAATTCCGCTTAACTGTCCGCTCGTTCCATTAATTTCAATCTCGCCAGTAAATGAATTGATGATTTCTCTCTTTCTGACCGTATCAAGTAATGGGCATTCCTCAATATTTCCTTTCAATACATCAAAAGGGATTTTAAAATTTGCGTTGAAAAATTCGTCCATTTGAGGAGAGAATTTTTTGAAATCAAGAGTGACTTGGCACTCTTTTTCAAGCGACTGATATAAAACAACAAGAAGGCCAAAGGACGGAAAAATATCACTTTCCTCTAAAAACCCATGCCAGAGCAAATTTCTGAGATTGAGAGAAATTGGAGGCCCGATGATGAGTGTACAAAACGAAAGTAAGTTCCTCGACAGATAGTTCTGTGATTGCATAACACGAAGAGTCTCACTGAGGGTTCGAGGAAGGGGAATATTTGTTGAAGATTTGTGCAATGACGTCAGCATTTTTTCAATTTTTGTGCAAATCCACAACGACAAGGTGACAACAGAGATTGGGCATTTTGGGAACGGGAGCGCATACAAGGCGGGGAAAAATTGGGAAAAAACGGACGGAGACGGGCTGTCGGCCAAAACCGACTGTACCGAGTCGTCTTCATCACGGAAAACTGTTACATTGTCAACCTCTTTGAAGAGTGGGTGAGTAACGTCACCTTGAGGAAGTGAAAATAACTTCTGGAGTGCCGGAGAAAGTTTGATAATTGCGGTGTTGGGGTTTGAAAAAGAGAGTTTCGATGAGTTGATAATGGAAGAGACTTCTGGTGAAAGATATAAAACGGAAAGAGTGTGGATGTCCTCCTTGTTGCGGATGTAATGAATAAACTCGTCATAGGAAATCCGTTGGTCTGATGTGAGACTCATCTTTCCCTCTTTCTGTGTTTTTATATTTTCAAAGTGTTGGTGTTTTCCAAAATATGTGAAATTAAGAAAAAAATATGCAAGTGTGTTCACCTAACTTTTGCGAAGTAAATTAATTATTAAATTATTAAATTATTCCTTTAAAATTATTATACAAAAATTTAATTATTACCTAAACACACTCAAACGTGGAAAAAAAAAAGGAAACAATGATTAACAGCAAAAACCCAAGACAAAACATTTAGGTGAACAAACTTGGGCAACTAAAGAAACAACCACAAATGTTGGCGATTTCAAACCAATTTTTGTTGCTAAACATGATGAACAATCGAAAGTAATTTACAAATTTGGGCAAGAAAAGATGCTCTGGAGCTCACTGGAGCACACCACGAAGTGGCACGTCTCGGCAAACTCGAGTTTTGAGCATACAAGTTTATTTAATATTTGCCCTTTTTCGCGAATGACGTCCTCGTAAAACACTGCGTCCTTTATACCGATCTTCCCTATTTTTTCTGCCTTAATTGTACCGTTTTTCCCCGATGAGAGTGTGTTACTGAAATAAAAACCAAATTCCTCCAAAATATCCATCAAGAGGTGGAGTGACTCTGTGAGTAAATTGCAGTTATACCTCCGTTGTGCTGTGTGTTGTGCGAGTCCGCCTTTAATTTCCGATTCCATCATCCCCTTACACTTTGTTTCGATTAAGTTGACAAAGTCGATTGAGTCGTATTGTGAAAAAAAAATGGTTTTAACTTGAAGAAAAGGGAGTGCTTGTGTCGACTTCTTCTTCTTTCGCATGAACTCGATTTCGGCGTATTTGTTCAACAGGAGCAGCATAAAACACTGTTCACACACTTGGTAATTCCGCGCGCTTTTGTATGACGAGTCCATGGATCAAATGAGTATACTCCAGTTCTCCGAGTCAGACCAACTGTTCTATTTCAGCGTAACCACTGAGTTTTTGCTTAGTAAGGCGATTGCAAATCATTCTATTCATGGTTGCACTGTACTACCAAAATATCATCAGTTTACTATTAATTTACTATTCGCTTATTTAACTGTTTTTTATATCTTTTTGCCATTTACAGCATTACCACCAAGACAAAAACAGCTATTTATCGTTTTAATAAATTGTTTTCATCTATTTTGTGTATACGTGGCAACACCATTTTGACTTGTGTTAGCTAAAGAACAGAAATAAAAGTAACCAATCAGATACAATTCAATTACTTTTCGTTTATTACTATTCCGATGGCTCTTTTTGCTTTTTATCTCTAGCTTCTGCTGTGGCACTA